ACTCCAAAGTGTGCCAAAGTGAGCTCTCTCTTTTTCTGTCTAAAACTAGTCTCCAAAAGTGTCTCTCAACTCTCCTAGTTGCTGCCCCTTTTAAGTTCATCTCTGCAGATTTTTATCCCCCAAAACAAGGAGATTGCAGACCCCATTTCCAAGAGAAGGCTGCTGCCAGCTTAACTCTCTCTCTTTGCAATAAATTCTTGCATAATTTTCTCTATTGGTGAGCCACCAAATCCATTTGCTCACTTCAAGAAATATGATCAAATCCCAATAATTTATGAGGGCTGCTGATAGTTGAGTGAAGATTCCAACCACAATAATTCGATTTGGGTCTTCATCGGTTTGGCCTCCTGCTGGACGTTTGCCTCTGCACATCTGCATTCTGACACTGCACCTGCATTCGGCCACTGCACTTTGTTTTGTTCACAATCTTAGCTTCAATCTGTGTTAAATCGCTACATGTCTTGGTAATGACACTAGGGCCATTCCACGATCAATATGAACTAATTTAGAACGATTTAAACACATACATACATACATAAAGATCAATAATTTATGCACAAAATACATATATGTTTATGAAGCTTATCACAAGTAGAGTTACATGTGGGAGAGAGGTGGAGATACCAACACTATAGTCTTTGTTTACAATGTTTCTAGCAAAAGATACTCCTTGAATGTCTTCGAAAACGACCTATTGGAGTTCAGGTGGAGGGTTCATAATTTAATACAACCCAAAAGGATAGACGAGACTGTGCTTCGAGAACCAAAATTGTGGCTCTCTATTCCCTTCGCATTACGTATGAACAATACGAACCAAACATCCTTGAGCCAACTTTCGCTTTGATAGCATCCACAATGGTAGCATGACGCTGGATTAGATCTGTACACGGTGGGATATCTTTTAGGAAATTCATTTCCTAACTTATCTGGGCCATCAATTTTCAAACACAACATATTTGTTATTTGCTAAGATGAGCTAAATTAAGTGGTCAATTTTATGTGGTTCATGACTACTCAAGCCCAATATGGGTCCCATGGGTGGAAACCCAATACTTGATCACCCTGGGTTTTATGGGAGCCCATGGTGAACTAGTATATAAGGAGCTTGAGGTTGTGGTCCCCAATACACCAAGACCAAACATAATCTCATCTTCTCCCCATAAGGAAGATGAGAGCTCTCCCGTATAGGAATTAAGGAAGCTTGGTTGAGGAAGGCTACGAAATCTCCTGGATCAAGCTCTAGAAGTATCGTCCAGCTGTAGATCGTCTTTCAGATTCCGCATCAAGATCCTGACTATCTACAACTTGAATTCAGATATTCCGATTAATCTTTGATAATCGGACGAGATGATTTTCAGAAAATTACTTATGTTTAGTTAATTCTTTCAAGTGGTATCAGAGCCATTCATCTCTGTTAGATTATTGAGATTTTTGTACTATTGTGATTCTCTCTCGGCGGATTCAATTTTATTCACGTTACATATTTGGTTTGTATGTATATACATAACAATGTGTTTGTTCGAGTCCATGGTTCATGAATTCTTGTTTCGTTGCTCCAGTATTATTTTGTCTGAATTCAGTTAATTGTTATGAGACAATGAACCAGGATCAAGGTTTCTTTTCTTTTGTACATTTGCAACTATTGTGATTGGAACTTCTACTTGTTGTTTTGGTTCTGCCTGTCGCTGGGAGTTAGTGGCATCCTATAATTTTGGTGTCAATAATTCCTCTTCATTTGGCTGAACCCTGCATGTTATTATCGTTACTACTATTCTGGGAATTGGGGAAAACATGAATCCAGAATGTCATACGAGTTTTTTTTTTTTTGGTCGCTTGACGTTTTGGTTCTTCCATTTGGGAAAACAAATATAGACGCACTACAAAAAAAAGTCTATGGCAAGGGTTATTTTCCTTCGTAGCAAGGGTTTTAACCCCTGCTACAGCATGTAGCAAGGGTTTAGGCGACCCTTGGACGGACCCTTGGCAAAGCCGCCTCTGCTACGTGTAGCAAGGGTTATTAGCAACCCTTGGCGCAAGTCCCTTGCAGCGGTTGTAGCAAGGGTTTAAACCCTTGCTACACGTATGTGAAAAATTCAAGAGTGAGTTGCTCGTACCATCGGTTATAACCCTTGCATAATTCGTTCCTACATCTAGCAAGGGTTTCAACCCCTGCTACAGGCCCTTGTAACTTTATGTAAAATTGCTGAAGATACGCTACTTGCAAGGGTTAAAACCCTTGCACAGTTTGTGACTAAAGCTACAAATTCAAGCCTAACTTATGTGGGCCATCAATTTCCAAACACAACATATTTGTTATTTGCAAAGATGGACTAAATTAAATGGTCAATTTTATGTGGTCCATGACTACTCAAGCCCAATATGAGTCAAATGGGTGGAAATCCAATACTTGATCACACTGGGTTTTATGGGAGCCCATGGTGAACTAGTATATAAGGAGTTTGAGGTGGTGGTCCCCAATACGCCATGACCAAACATAATCCCATCTTCTCCCCATCAGGAAGACGAGAGCTCTCCCGTATAGGAATTAAGGAGGCTTGGTTGAGGAAGGCTACGAAACCTCCTGGATCGTGCTCTAGAAATATCGTCTAGCTGTAGATCGTCTTTATTCCGCATGAAGATCCTGACTATCTACAACTTGAATCCAGGTATTCCGATTAATCTTTGATAATTCGACGAGATGATTTTCAAAAAATTACTTATGTTTAGTTAATTCTTTCATTATCAACTCAATAGCTATCCGAGAACCGGTTTCGAGAATGATTCATCTACGGCTCTGATTCATTTAATCTACCGCTATACACAACACAACCTTTATCTGCAATGTGAAAATACCCTTGAGTTATAGGATACACTACAACAAAAAGGTCCTATGCCAGGGGTTATGTAGCAGGGGTTCAATAAACCCTTGGAAATTTTTTTGAAACTCATCGTAGCAAGTGTTTATTCCAGGGGTTTAGAAACCCTTGCCAATGCACAACTCTGTTTCGTTGCCCAGGCTTGTTTTGGCTGCTTCTTTGTTTATGATGTAGACTGCTTCTTTGGTAAATTTACTTTTTTTCCTATTTTATAAAATGTTGTTTTTATATTTTGTTAAATTAATAGTTCGTTTTCCTCAGTAAACGAATTCAAATTACATTTTCCAGGATCTCTCCGAGCTGCGATTCTCCGCGCACCGCCAGATCTCCCCGACATATCGTTCTCTTCGCGCGGCGCCAGATCTCTCCGACCTTTCTTCACTCCGCACGACGCCAGATCTCTCCGACCACCTCTCGTTCAATCCGCGCGGCGCCAGATCTCTCCGGCCTCTCGTTCTCTCCGTGCGGCGGACGATCGATCTCTCCGACCTCTTGTTCTCTCCTCCCGGCGCCCGATCTCTCCGACCTCTCTTCACTCCTCGCGGCGACAGATCTCTCCGTCCTCTCGTTCACTCCGTGCGGCGGTCAATCTCTCCGGCCTCTCTTTCTCTCCTCCCGGTGCCCGATCTATATCTCGTTCACTCCGTGCGGCGCGATTATTTGATCGCTATCTTATTCTGGCTATCAGGTAATGTATCTCTCGCACTTTTCATGAATATAGATAGGTTTTAGGTTTCATTTTTGTTGTCGCATTCAATGGCCCTGTGTTTTAAGTTTGTGGTTGTACTCTACTCTGTACTCCCTTACTCTGAAAATGTTCGCATACTTAAATGGTGTATTTGTTCAGTTTTTTTAAGTTTGTCAAGAAACACATAGGGGCTACTGTAATTAAGATTAAACTACTTTGGAAATATTATAAGAATCGAACAGGAGGAGGGAGAGAGAGTGTGTCAACTTGTTGCTGAATCCGCTAAGAATATAGGGCTAACTGAATCGGCTAAGTGAAATTATCATTGTTCAAGCAAATGCCAATTGAATAAACTAATGTTGTGTCAACTTGGTGCATTGTATATTAACATTGTTAAACAATAGGATACACAATGTTCAGAGTGTCTAAAGGGTTGAAATGGGATGGGGAGGCAAAAACTGAAGGGTGTAGGAAAAAACATGGGAATTATTACAAAGTAGCATCTTCTGGTCCCACAACCTTCCTTGCCCTGCAGCGTTGAGTAGCACTCTTTGAAGTTGCTTTGGCTCTTTGAATTCTGACGTTTATGAGAATTATTACAGATGTCTTAGTAATTTTCTTTTGAATTGTGAATCTGGTCATTCAACAATGTGACTGTAGATATTTTTATGCTGTTTATTCTGGATAGTAAGCCCTTCAGTTTCCGATCATATAGTCGTTGTTGAAGGAGATGTTTGATTTTTCATCAGTACTCTTTAACCAATGAATCTGCCATTGTAGATCCATAAATGGAAAAGGAAGATATGGCAATAGGAGTGCATCCCCCCGTTGATTGACTACTAGCATAGAGCAGCTTCATTTTCATAATGTAGTATTTATACCCTTATACTAGTCCTACTGGTACTGCTCTGCTTCCCTTTCCCTCCCTGGCTCCCATTCAATCTAACAACAAAGAACACCCTTCTTCATTTCCTACTTCTTCACATTTCAATCTAACAACAAAGTATATTTTTGTGGTTAGCGTGTTGTAGTTCCTTGTGGTGAAGAGTCATGCTTGCTTTCATCCTTTCTTGGGATAATTGCGAAAAACAACATCTTGACTCCACTGTCGATTGAGAATTGGAAAAGCAAGGACTTCAAACCATACTAAGCCTTACCAAGGTAAAACTAATGATGTTGGGAAAACAGTGGAAAGTATTAGGGAAGAGGGACTTCCAGAAGGTGTTACAGATGCAATCAGTGGTACACCTTGGTAGCTAGCTTGTTTGCCGAGGAAACAAGGTAAACCCTCCTTTTAACTTGTTGTTTCAGTGGTACACCTTAGAAGAAGAATGTTTTTCACACAGGAAGGAGGAGCATTGCAATGATGGAAAAGCGGTTGGTAAAGCTTAATTGGTTTCTTTTTAGCTTTATGTACATTCTACATATGTTTTCCCATTCTTACAAATAATATAATCAGATTTCCATATTGTTCTAATCTAAATTCTAATATGTTACATGGTTGCAGAAGGAAAAATTAGGCAGAACTCCTACTAGGCTTGAAGTTTTTGAAGCTGACCATAAGAGAAAGGATGGGACATACATCAATGATCATGTTAAAATTTCATGGTAATTCCTGTGGTAGCTCCTATTCAGTTGCTTTAAGTTTGCAGAAAAGACATAATCCCCTGGTGATGGGTGACAGTATATGGTAGTTAATGAAATTATGAAAATATGCATTGGCATGTGTCAGAGAAGGGTTCTGCTCTAGCTCTTTTGTCATAAGGGTTTCAAGAATTCAAACTACCATATGTGAAATGGGAGAGATAGTTTGCTGTAGTAGGGCTGCTGGTTGTGTTTGGTATTTATATGACATGTGATTTTGCTGCAGGATAAAGCAAATGAAATGGAGGGACCTAGAGAGGAGGTTTTCCAGAAGCTAGCGGGTCCAGAGCATCCTGGGAGGCTTCGATGCTTGGGGTTAGCGCCAAGTCAGAGCGCTCTCATATGAAGATGCTGAAAATGGAGGCCATGGAGAGGTTCATCAGTAAGAAATTTCCTGGGCAAAATTGGATGGAAGATGCTGGAAACAATCCGGTAATGTCTCTCCTCCCTTCTTTTCTTTGAAATTGCACCAGTAAGAGTATGAAATTGGGAATGAATAATAATTGATGTTGAGTTGAAGACATAGGGTTGTTTGTAGAGGGAAGTTTTTAGAATACTTTAGCATATTCGTGGAATGATCGATCGATGTTTTTGGTAGTTTATACAACAATAGCATGTGTCACAGTTCAGAAGTTGTTCCATTTTACTTCGCTTTGCAAACTTCTCTTTGTTGATTTTCTTCCTCTCGTGTCTCTCTTTGTCTGTCCACTCCTCTCTTTGTTTTATCCTTTTTGTTGTAGTAAGTAAATATATGGCTAGACCTGGACCTGCTCCCTCCATTAGAGAACAGAGAGGCAAAAATGGCTAAGACACAGGCCACATGAGTGCTTTGTTATAAAAATGAAATTCTTTCTTTTTCACATTGAGATTAAATATTGTTCTTGTTTTGTACACTCTGTAAATGTTGACAATTCTTTCTTTTTTGTCAGGGTGCTAGTACTGCACTGTCTTTGGGTTCTCGAGCTTCTTGATGTCGTGGCGCTCTCATATGAACTGTTGGATTTTAGTTTATCGTGTACTAGGTTCTTTTGAATTTAACGATGTTTGGCCATTTGAGCAATAGTATAGATCATGAATCATGTTACAGATTATGAATATTGATGGGTATCGTTGTATGCTATGAATTTGGTTACTATTGAATATTAGGTTCTGAGTTTGTTTAAAATGATCAGAGTATTTGCAACCAAATTATAATCACCAGATTTTGAATTTGCATCTTTAGCAACAGTTTTGAATTTGTCTCTTTAGCGACCATTTTGTTGTCGTTGCAATTTTTTTTTATATTAGCCACGAATGAAGCAGGGGTTTAAACCCCTGCAATAAGTAAAATCAACTACAACTATGTTGTTTAGTAGCAAGGGTTTTAGCCCTTGCTAGTTTTTGCAACAAACTTAGCAAGGGTTTGAACCCATAGTACGATCATATACTGGATGAATTTTAAGTTGTCTTGTAGCAGGGGTTTTAATCCTTGGTATATGTAGCAGGGGTTCCAACCCCTGCAAAAAACCCCTGGATGGTACTTTCACCGTGGGTTACTAAAAACCCTTGCTATCCATAGCAGGGGCAGCATTGGCGAGGGTTGGTGCAGGGGTTGGGAAAACCCTCACTACAATTTATAGCAGGGGTTAAAACCCTTGCTATAGGCCAAGAAAACCCTTGGTACACTACAAGAAACTGTATTTTTAGCGACGGAAACGGTCGTCGCTAAAGGCTCGACATTTCGTCGCCAGAAAATTTGGCGACGGCAGAGTCGTCGCCAAATCCAGTTCCCGTCCGTCGCCTATACTGCGTCGCGTTAGGCTTCTGCGACGAATTATTTGCCGTCGTCGCAAAAAGATGGCATCCGTCGCCGAAGGTTGAGCTTTCTGCGACGAAGTGCACTGGAATCGGCGACGAATGGTGTCGTCGCAGTGATTCTGCGACGAAGTTATCGTCGCTGAAGAGATGGCTTCCGCGACGACACAATCCGTCGCGTGTAGCTTTAGCGACGGTTTGTTCCGTCGCAATTGATAATCATTTTTGCCGACGAATTTGGTCATTGCTAAAAAGTCACTAATTTCTGGGTTTCAATATGCTCCAATGTTCTTGTTCCTTTTTTTTTGTTCTTTTGTTTACACACTACCAATAACCTTCTACTATAATTGGATATGCAACTGGGAAATTTCCTTGTAACTGAAAATAAATCTGAATCCATAGATAATTTATAAAATACATATGTTATCCCGTTCAAATGAGAAAATTCAATAAAACTATACACTAATAATGTGTGGAAACAATCATGGTTCGTATTCGAAATGATCAAAAAATTATCATCTGACGTCTTGGCCAAAATATCCAACCTTAGCTGAAGACCTGCATACAAGGTAAGATACATCAAGAGTTTTTTTTACCACAATTCTCAATCAAAAGCCTTTATCATGAAGCTACCTAAAATAATGACACCTGTATGTATCAACATCCCTTATAGTTAGAAAAGAAATGTGTTTTTATAACAAATCCAGTTTCACAATGTATACCATAATAGGTTTTGGGGATATTAATCTGCACATACTCCACCTGTCATCATCAATATTTCCAAAACTAAAGTTTAAAGCCTCCAGAAACCAACGGAAACAAAACTCATGAATCAACCCACTTGCTGTCTGAAAACTAAATCCTCTAGAAATCTATAGAATCAAACTAAAACTAAAGGCTAAATTCACTTACTGCATTTTCAATATAGTTGTCCGCATTAATATTAAATTAGAAAGGAAATAGAATTGAAGTTTTACCAATTCCTGTTCTCAAGCAAACAGAGTAATCCCAATAACATCTTCCTTCTCCCTTCAGTCATTTATCTTACATGATATAGTTCATGTGTAACCTGCAAAGCAAACAATGGTTCTGCTTAGACTTTTGTCGGGTAATGGATTAGATGTTTCCTAGAAAAAGTGGAATTAGAATGGTCACATGATGAAGGCTGGCTCATCCCACTATTGTCTTAAACCCTGATCTTCGTTCTTCCATACTTATCATCAAGAGGGAAGTAAGCTGCCACTCTCCTCCATCATATAAAATATGCACAAAGGTCATATAGACATGAGAACAACAAACTAGCTACTCAGTGGCAATGCTAGTACCGACAGCTGGCCTGTAAACAAGCATGCTTACAAATTCAATAGAAATCGAGACCTTCAAGCCTTTTTTATGCATCGTCCATGAAAAGGAAATCGAGGAAAAGAAGAACCTTCCCAGCAACCAACCATTCACAAACAAGAGGACTCACCTTATCTAGATCAAGTCGTTCCTACAGATCCACGCCGTAAATGAAATCAATTAACCAGACATTCACAAACAATGTTTCATTTTGCAACATAAACAGAAGTGAGTATGGGCGTTTGCCCCTTGATGCTGGCAAACTTGTCGTTCAGCAATTTGGAAACTAACCCATCCTCAAAAGACTCGACCTCTATGACATTACACCTTGTGAGACAGACAGAGTTCAAAGGTAAAGAAAGGATCGATATATAGAGCCTCAATAAGAATGAAAAGCAACAAAATTTAAGAGCATCTCACTAGTGACATGCGTTGTATCCAACTTTGGAAGATAGATATCGCAGGCAAACCCCCACATCACAAACAAAATTCAATCAAACATTAGACCCTTGAACGAAGAGGAATTGGATAACTAATTCCAGTAGAGGACTTACAGAGCTAGTGGAAACCACTGGCGGGAAGAAGACACAGCTGAACTGATTTGAATTGACGATTGAAGAGGGGATATGCCGACCTGGCCAAATTAACAGGGTCGTTCTGATTTGTAGTTTTGACCCGGAAAAGCGTCAATTAAAACTACAAGCAGAGGGGATATGCATATGTGGTCGAATTAACAAATCGAGACCATTGCGACTGAAAATTAATTGGAAGAAGGGACCTGTAGTGGCGATGGACGCAACAGGTGGTGATCTTCAATTCGGAGGTGGGGAGAAGGGATCTCCCATTCCTGTACCTCATCCGGAATCAAAATTGAATCCCACCCGCCCCGATCGAATCTTCCATCCTTATCAGTTATCTCTAAGATCAAAGGATGTTTCATGTAGCTTCAAACCCTTGTCTGGTTGCATTTCCAAGACTCGATTTTCTGGATCCGACGAGAGATGCGATTTGGGTCTACAAGGAATTGAAGTTGTGGAAGAAGAACAAATGAATTCTTTTCTATTGCAGGAAGAAACGAGGCTCAATGGAGGTGGTAGAGCTAGGGTAGCGGCGGTGTCACAGCAAGGTGAAGGCTAGGGTTAGGGGAAAAGGGTTTCTGGGCTTGGAAGCTCGAACTGGGGGATTTTGGTTGAAGGATTGAGAGGCCCGACTATTTAGCCTTGTTGCTATAGGAAACGGCGCCGTTTACACCCATCATTGGTCATCAACATTCAAATGGCATTTGACTTTTCATAAATATATTTTTTATTATCCATAAGCCATATTTTCTTACATTTTAAAAAAAAGCCTTGTTTTTCAGATGTTGAGGAGTCGACAATAAAAGTGCGTCATAGAAAAAATATATGGAACAGTAAATTATGAGCATCCAAAACGTATGCAATTGGCGACGAAATGCTCCGTCGCAGAACACAATAAAGCTTTAGCGACGCAAAAGGTCATCGCAGATGCACACCAACTATTCCGCGTCGTCGCCTAATAACAAAGTTTCATCGCCAAACCTGCTTATGCATCCATAAATTTTATTTTTTGAAAGGCATCTAATTTAGCGACGAATAAATAAAATTCGTCGCCAAAAGCTCACTTTTAGCGACGAATTCGCTGTCGTCGCCAGTATTTTCGTCGCAAAAGATCCTGTTTTTTGTAGTGGTATAGGCTCTTTTTTTAGTAGTGATAGATATCGAACTGCAGAAGTGGCCTACCATAAAATTCATTTAAGACGTTTCGTGTCCTATATATTTACCGTCCACCAGAAATTGGTCCTGTGAGCTTGAAAAATAAAGCCCATATTCCAGTCTATTTCATTCTCATAACTCTCTTATAGGCACACGTCTATCACAAGATGGCATGCACCGGTTGGTGTTCGGAGTACGTGGTTTTGTTTCTGTGTCGACGATGCTATTCAGAGCATCTTGACAGCTGTGTTACTGTTCGGAGTATACATGGCTCGGTGATTCGGTTTTCTTGGTTTGACGATGCTGTTCGGAGCATCTATGGTTTGTTTCGTGATAATCGGTTTCTGGAGCTTCTTTGGAGGACAAATGTTTGGAACGAGAATGTAGTTTTGGCAAGAGATTGTGTTACATCCATTTTATCACCATCGACGTTTCACGAGGCATTGGACATGGTCTTCATCGACATTGACATATTTGGCGGAG